TTGTCCCCCATAAAATTTGGTATTTAAAAAAATTAAACATGAAAGGGTGCAGTCAATTTTTTATTATTCTGATGAAAAAAAAGGACACGAAAAAATGGATTTTTAATTTGGTCTGATCTGTATAATAGTCTGATTGGGCAATGGAAACTTAGAAATATTTTTCAGATGGTTATGAACAATATCATTTGTAAATTGAAAATTGAATCAGTGTTAGCATTTCAATTTTCAATTTTTGAAAATTAAAAATAAAAACTTAAAATCAAAATTCAATTTTTTATTTTGAAGAGTTTAAATGAAAACAGAAAAGACTGCAAAATGACTATTTTCTTTAATGCCTTGTCTGTCTTTTTGGTGAAAAGATGATTGGACACAATATCCACTCACCTAGGAAGATTAGCTTGAGCTTCTAGGAACAAAGCATTCATCAGGTACAGTGGAGCATAGCAGATGATGAGGATTGAGTTGGCTTTTTGAATAGTTTGAACGACTACTTCATTTGCTAAATCATCAAATGCTCTTTCCAGTAACAAGCGAATGTCCTCCAATAAATGATCTGATGGCTCCCAGTCAAGAAGAAACCCAATCTTTTCACAAGTAAGAGAACTGCTGGATGCTAATGAGATTTTTCTATTCAGAGTGAATGTAAGCTTCATTTCATTGGAAAACTTCTTGATTTCTTCTTTGTATATTGAGACAAGATTTATTCCATCCTCTAGATCATAGCGATTAGCAATAGTTTCCATTGCTGCTACATTGACAATATTGCATTTCTTTTCCACAATTTTTAGGACACTATCAACGGATTTTGTGCGTTGTAGTTGAGATTTTAGCTCTGGGTAATAACGCTCCAAGAATTGCTTTAATTCTTCTAAGCTAATGGTTTCCATTGATAATAATATAGACCTCATATTTTCCAAAAAGACACAAAATTTTCCTCTCATTGCTTCGAAACTGTATTCATGTGCAGCTCTACTAACACGAATTTCCTGTTCTAAGACAAAATATTTAGAGACTGCAGCCAGTTTAGACACTGTACCTTGTAATTGTGATTGTGTAGATATTGAATCTGTTTCATTATTTTGAATTGATTCACAGCTAATATCAGTAAAATTTTCATATAAATCAATAAGATCAACATACTTGCTGTAATCTTCAAGTATTTCTCTGCCTATAGCAGCTGTTCGTCACATTTGAGGAAGACATCAGCCAGCACTCTCAACTTTTCATGATCTTCAGCTACTGTCACACAAACAGCTCTTAATGGCTCACCAACAAGCAAGTTTCCACCACGTCTTATTTTAGATTGTGTCCTTTTTGATATCACTCCCTCTGAACGCAACAATACTAGCAATTCAGTAGGTAAGAAAATACAGGAGAATGTATTGCTGTGACGCAGTAACAACTGACTAGCAGGAACAACCACTAAGAATACAAAGGAATTATATCATATTTATGAAAATAATTGTAAATTACATATTTTGTGAATTCTTTCAGCAGCTACTGTTGCAATGCTTTCTACAGCATTTTCCAATAACTGTGGGAAAGTATTCTGAGACTCTAACCATAAGCTCAAGCACTCCAGGAGGCATTGATGAGGATCTCTGGGGTAACTATCTTTTATTGAATTGAGCTGTGGTTGCAAAATATTGAGTGATAGTCCAAGATCATGCCATTTTGTCTCATCAAAGTTTGTATCTTTCAATATATCTCTGATTAATGACAAATGGTTGATGCCTACAAAAAATACAAAGATACAGACTGCTAAAATCAAGAAATAAAGCAACATACTTAAACGAAAAGGCTCAGACATCTCAAGTTTTTTTCAAACAGCAATGCAAAGATAATGGGAGGAGGAGTGGCTCGCCTCCTCTGCAGTCCGCGCATGCGCAGTAGGTTGATTGGAGGACTTAGTCTATTTCCTGGAGTTGTCTTTTGTGTGTTGCCTGTGAGGCTGTGAAACTTAGTTTTTTTTCAAGAGTAGATTTTTAGTAGTATTAGGCATAAATATATCAACAGTAATAACTTTGTGTAGGTAAGTTAGTTCTCTCCCAGCGCCTAGTTGGGGCTAGAATTAAGTTAGGAGATTCGAAATTGTGCCTAGAGATGACAAATAGGGGGAAGATGGCATTTTACAGTGATGATGATGATGATTGATGTTTGTGAATGTCTTGTTAGATTATTTTGTTTTTCTTTTTTAGATTTTTAGATGAAATAGTACAATTAGTGAGTAATTTATCTTCAGGATGGACAAGAAAGTAAGTATAACTTGTATATGATACTTTAAATAGTAAATACATGTATAATACATAAAAACTTGTTTTCTTATTCTTCTTTTGTATGATCTCTCTCTTCAATCACCACAAGATGAAATCTTCAGGTAAGCATTCTCAATTCTATATGTACAGTACATACACATACATATATAATGTATTATAGTCTTAAATGATA